TCCTCTGGAATCTGTGGGGGAAACCTCAGTAGGACTGTGTGAAGAACTTTTGTCCGACTCTTGTCTCTTTATTTACGTGGGTACTCTGCTTTTTTGCGATGTTGACAGTCATAATGGTATAAATATGGGGTGGGAGGTACACATTTTCCACATGAGATGTCACTGGGGAAGTGGGCCCTGTCGTTTCAGGATAGGACGGTGCTTGTGTGGTACCTCTATTCGGGGCTTTGCAGCTCCGGTGTTACAGTGCAGCCTGCCAGCTCAGTGCCGCAGCGTCTCTGGACGAAGCTTTGCAGGCGACTGGCACGGTGGCTGTGATTGCACCTTGAGTCACTCCTCGCTCCTCACACCTCCAAGCGAAACAGATCCGTGCCACAGAGCGCAGGCACCCGGGAAAAAAACATCTCACCTATTGGTGTGCTGACTGGGGAGACTTGGTATCTCTTTTCCCAGCCTGCTTTTGATTACGACCCTAATGGTTTCGGACCGGGACGGTCATTTGAAGCTCATCCTTTGGACTTTACAGTTAAGCATTCGCAGTAGTGAGTTAGCTCTAGCTTCAGCTAAACTTCACTCCCAGTGCTCAGCGTTTCTGAACAGAGCGGGTGCAGCATCTTCAAACAAATAACGGAAGTTCATTAGCACAGTACCGCACAGTTAAAAGCGTTGCAACTGTGCAACTGCTTTGTGATGACTGGTATTTTATCACCCTGAGGCCACACAGCTGGGATTATAAAAAATAAGTGTAGCAGATGACGCCGCTCAGCTTCTTTTGTTTGCAAGGTCATCAGTGACAGCTAAGAGCTATTTATCCACTTTGTTCTTTTTAGACTGCTGTGTATCATTAAACGAAATCTGACTCCCAGCGTGACAAATTCTCACAGTTTTCTGGAACACAGAACAAACAGATGTTTCCTGTAGGTTATCTGGAATTTCCCACTTTTAATGAAATATTATGCGAATCAAGTTAGCACCAGGTCCCAGTGCAAGGTGGGTAGAGTCAGCCAGCCTTAGAAAACTTCCACATTTGTCTTCTTGATGGGTTTTCATAGTAGTTGTTTGCTTATTTAAAAGCAACATTACAGGAGTATGTTTTATATTTAAACTAATCCAAGTCTTCATGTAAACTTATGAAGCCTGTGTTAAATAAGAAACTTTGGTTAAAAAACTCATGTGGGTGTACTATCTTTTGGGTGAATAACATATTTTTCTTGCTGACAAAGAAGAGATTGAAGAGAAGAACAAATAAATTGTGTTTTATGTATTTCTGGAAGAAAAACGTCTGTCAGTCGTACAGACAATATGAAAATCTTAGTGAGAAACAAAGAGCTGCAGCTGGAAGGCGTCTTTATACAAATGAGCTGGGCAAGAAAACGTGTTGCTATCAGGGCACGTTGCCATGAGAAGAGGCTTTGCTCAGACAGTGTCATATGTTGAGGTGAAACAATAGCAGAAGGTCATGTGCAGTTTTTATAAGAAATCTAGAACTTCTCCAGGAATTGAGCAGCACAAAACAGCTGATCAGTGATGGAGTCTCACTTGAACAAAACATGCTTTCAAACCACTTCTTTGTTGACTATGATTTGGTAATTGACAGCTTTCTGTAATTTGACTATATTTTTTAATATAGATGACTCAAACATTTCTCCACAGCACTGAGATCAGACTTTGACTTTAAGGTTAAACACATCACACCAGTGTAGTGCCATTCATGCTATCAGTTAGCTAGTTCCTAGATGGGTCAGACTTTAAAGAATTGGGGTGTTGCAGTTGTTCAGGGAAGCTGCATTTGGTCCATATACAGCCTGTTGTCTGGGAATGTTTGTGTTGTGTCCCTGATGCCCATCAACACAACCCGATTATCACCATCATTCAGCTACTTGCTACTGTAAACAAATGTTTCCTTTGAGTCTCTATAAGTCTTGACCGTAAAGAATTTAAGGTCTTAATTTACCTCCTGAGAGCAGAACAGACTATAAAAGGTAGCTTTCCATTTAAAAAAAACGTATTAAGGTTCTAATTGATGCTATTTGGAATACGATTATAACTTGAACATGTTGAAAATATCAATAAGATAAATGAAATCTTAATTAAACTCGACTCATTCGTGTTTTCGATGTATCCTTGTCTCAAACAGAGGAGTTTAGGTATCTTCAGATGACGTTCACAAGCAAAAGAGAGTGTGAGCAGTACAGGAGCATATCAGGATCCCCCCCATGATGAGCTGGAGAGCATGCCTGCGGAGGGGGGGGGGGGGGGGTTGCCAGGGTTTCCCTCCCAGGACCATGACATTGATACTAATGAATCAATATTACCCTGCCATTCAAGTGCTTTTAGTTCATTTAAAAGTTCCAAAGGGACATGAAATATTTTATAGATTACCTATGTGTACATTTTTCAAGTTTTTATTCATTGGATTTTCCCTTGAAGATCATTTAGTTTTAATGATTTTAAAGAGGGGGCGGCACGGTGGTGTGGTGGTTAGCACTGTCGCCTCCCAGCAAGAGGGTTCTGGGTTCGAATCCCGGGGGAACCAGGGCCCTTCTGGGTGGAGTTTGCATGTTCTCCCTGTGTCTGCGTGGGTTCTCTCCGGGTTCTCCGGCTTCCTCCCACAGTCCAAAAACCTGCATGTTAGGTTGATTGGAGATTGGGGAAATTGCCCTTAGGAGTGAATGTGAGTGTGAGTGGTTGTTTGTCCATGTATGTCCTGTGTGTGGCCCTGCGATGGACTGGCGGACTGTCCAGGGTGTACCCTGCCTCTCGCCCGTTGACCACTGGGATAGGCTCCAGTTCCCCCCGCGACCCCATGAGGGAATAAGCGGCATTGATAATGGATGGATGGATGGATTTTAAAGAGCAGGGTTTCTTTGAGGTGGTATCCAAATGACCATCTTTTGATTGGTCATTGTGGTATGTGACCCATACTCATTGTCATACTGTACATTAAAATATTGGCATAGTTTACAAATGATTGAAATATTACACGGAACATTATCAGATAATGTATTCCCTATTCACAGTATCGCTTCTGACATTTTCACGCCTCGCAGTGTCTCAGCGGAGCTTCACAGGCAGAACGGTTACCAAGGAGCCCTGACTCTTTGCATTTCCTGTCCAATGAATACTTCGCTGAGCATTTTTATGGAAATGGGAACGCTGGCCTGCTGCAGTGTAGCGACTGGCTCTGTGAAATCTGCCTTGCTCGATAAGTGGGCCGATTTGCCAGCAAAAGCCCTGGATCCATCCTCACCAGACATCTAATAACAGCCTTCGTAACTTCTAGGGATTACCACTGTATGAGCCCCGTGTGGAGAATGGTCTGCATCTGTGATTCGTCATTAGGCGTCCAATGCCGGCTGCCTCTTTGCTCTGCAGCTGCTGCTCTGAGCTTTGGAAAAGAAAAACTCAACAACCTCCAGCATTGGTTTGCCTATTCTACCCAGTTGGACTGTAGAAGTCCAAATGGTCTATGTTGGAATACAAACTGTGCATGCTCTACTGCACGGGTAGCAGTTGAGATCAGTGTATGTGGGCTTGAATGGTTTTGGCAGTAACGGCGCAGTAGAAAGGTCCAAGATCAGGGAATTTGTGCTTGTTTGTTTCTGGACCTTTTTTTAAAGCTCCCTGGTGTATTTTGTTGGATAAAGTATTTGTTGTTTATCTAAAAATGTTGGTTCGAAATATAGTTTTTGCTCTTCCATCGCATCTGTCTGTACATGATCTACTCTTAGGCTTTATTTGTTTCTGTAATCATACTTATTTGTAGCCCATCGCAACTGTCTATACAGCAAAAAGTATTAAAGATTCATCTACATTGTGGGTGTATCGGTACTGTCTCAGACTGATCTGTTCAGGAAAAAACTGTAAGGGCAAAATCAGGGAATTCTTATTCCAACAGTGCTGTCAAGGGCTTGGTAACCGAATAATGAAATAATGCAATGTTCCGACAGAACCAACACTGCACTGCATCTACAATAAGATGCAACAACAGCAGATGAGTATAAATAATATTCAAAGTTTAAACTGAAAAACTGAAATTTTGGTGAAAAATATGGCATTTCTATGCAAAATATGACTTATTAAGACAAGGAAATATTATATTTTTGTTTTGTTCAGTCTAAGTTTTGCAAATGGGGGTATTTTTTAAGCATAATGTAGCATTTAAGTCTTGCAAGGAAGCATGGAGAAAAGAGCAGGGTGAGCAGACTGTAACTCAGATTGCTTCTTTTATTCTCCCACTGTGGGTTACCAGATCCCTTTTTAAAGGACTTAACATCATCCAGCCTGACGGGCTTAAGACTGGAAAATGACGTCGGTACTAACAAGCACTCTCACTAATGGATCCACTTCCAACAGAATACAAGGGCAGTACAGTTTGCTTTTCAACCTTCACCGGAGGTCTCGTGTTTCTTGACCATTAAACTCATACAACATTATCGGTGGGTGGTAGAGGGGGCTGTGGCCTGCTGGGCCTGGGTTAGTAAAACCGAGGAATGGCTTCCAACAGTGAAGAGTTGATGATTTTGACTTGAACTGTGGAGCAGACATCGCAACAAAATGATCCGCTAAGTTGAATGGGATCCTTTTTAAGAGCATGTGCCATAGTTTTTTTCTTCAGTTTTAGCCCTATTCAAGTTCCATGAACTTATTGGCAGAAACAGCTACATACATTTAAAACTCAATGGGTGAGGTTAAGTCAGTCTGTTCACTTTTGTCTTTGGCACTAGTTGAATAAGTAGCAGTCATTGTGTGAAGAACAAGCTCTTAGCTACAAGAATCTTCCAGCTCCGGTCATTACGCTGGCCTTTTCAGCGAAAACTTACAGTTGCTCGTATCAACTTGATTTCAACTCTGTCTTGTCATTTCTTTTCTCAGGCAGAGCCACAATTGCAGAGGAAGTCCAAAGAAAAATTGAATGTTGCCGCTCCGCACAGTCATGTGACTGACTTGGCCTTTCCATTTCCCGTGGGACACCCCCCCCTCGTGCCGGCTTCCCCCCGTTGCCTTGTTTGCACCATGAGAGGATCCACCAGGTGCCTGAGCGCTGCGCCATCGTACTGGCGCTGCGGTTGTGCTGCGTGAGTGCCACCCCC